CTGAATTGTCGAGGCGTGCGGGAGGCTTTTTGTTGTTGTTATTGAGGGCCCGTGTCAAATGGCCTTCGGTCTAAACAAACAGTAAACAATCTTGGCTGAGGGGGGGAGGCGATGTGGGAGGCTGGGTGGCAATGTGACGGACAGGGTTGTTGATTCGTCGATTAGCGGATGCTCTACACAATAGAACTCATGGTTTGGACATGTTTGTTTTGTTGTAGTACGGAGTTAGACTGATGGTCTTAATCTAAGGTTTCTTGTGGTTGTTGTTGTTGTTGTTTGACTTGCATCCCACTGGGATTTTTTTGCACACAGCGTTGGTGTACGGTGCATTTTTCAGGAATATTTTGCTGTTTTTTTCATGGATTTTCTGTTTGCACAGTCACACGTAGTCACTTTAAGATGTTTTTCTTGTTCGTGTTTTTGTTTTTTTCTTTGTTGTGGTTGCACCCGATTCAAGAGCCGAATGGCTCACAGGGCTATACCAAAATGAATAAACTGAAAAGTCTCAACGACGGCGATTGGTTCGACGGAGCCGCTCGTTAAGTGAACTTGGTCGTTAAGCGAGTTTTGGAAATGCACGCGAAAGGGTTCAATCGTTCCGGCACCATCGAACGTTACTCCTTTTTCACCCTAAAACGCACCTTATTCAATGTCAACAATGGATATTAATATTCTTGGTTCTTTCAGTAAAGTCACGTAGAAGGGAAACAATAAAAGAAAAATATAAAACAATAAAATAAACTGAAAAGTTTATTTTACATTTTTATTATTTTATTGTTTCCCTTCTACGTGACTTTACCGAAAGAACCAAGAATATGAATCCCTGCAGTCACGAAAGCTTTAAATCAAAATTTAAAGGATATTAATGCATAAAGATACTGACAACGTTATGAACACATGCTATTAAAAAGAAACGTGGTTAATCAATGCATTATTGAATATTTACTGTACCTACAACAGCCAGCCGTTAACAGGGGAATGTTCGGGAAGCGACCACATTGGGCTCTATGGAGGAACTACACTACACTATACACTACATTATCCACTATACGATACACTACTATACACTACACTACTATACACTACACTACTATACACTACACTACTATACACTACTATACACTACACTACACACTACACTACTATACACTACACTATACACTACACTACTATACACTACACTATACACTCCACTACTATACACTACACTACTATACACTACACTACTATACACTACACCACTATACACTACACTATACGCTACACTACTATACACTACACTATACACTACCATACACTACACTACTATACACTACACTATGCACTATACACTACACTACTATACACTACACTACTATACACTACACTACTATACACTACACTACTATACACTACACTATACACTACCATACACTACACTACTATACACTACACTATACACCACTATACACTACACTACTATACACTACACTACTATACACTACACTATACACTACACCACTATACACTACACTACTATACACTACTATACACTACACTACTATACACTACACCACTATACACTACACTATACGCTACACTACTATACACTACACTATACACTACTATACACGACACTACTATACACTACATTACTATACACTACACATTGGGCTCCATGGAGGCCAATGTGTAGTTCATAGTAAGCGATTCGTCGTTAACAGGGTTGGTCATTAAGAGGGGTTCTAAGGCACAGGTGCCGCGGTGGCTAGGAGATGTTAACTACCTCGCCTGATATGCAGGGGAGCGTGGGTTCGATCCCGACCCTGACGCCTGCTGCTGCTGTATATTTGGAGTCTGCGTGATCTCTCTCCCCGCGCTCGCGTGGATTTTTCTCCGGGTTCCCTGCCATTTTTCCCTCCGAATTTAGAATCTACACGCGTTTAGTATAAAGTATACGTAGCCACTGCTACGTATATATTTCCACGAGATATGCCACTTGTCGATTTAAAGCTTTCGTGACTGCAGGGATTCATATTCTTGGTTCTTTCGGTAAAGTAACGTAGAAGGGAAATAATAAAATAATAATACAAATACAACAATAAAATTCTCACTAGAATTATCTCGTGGAAATATATAGCAGTAGCTACAATTCTCACTAGAATTTTATTGTTTTGTTTTTATTCTTTTATTATTTCCCTTCTACGTGACTTCACCGAAATAACCAAGAATATGAGCCACTTCGTTGAGCTATCATTCGTGATAGCCAGGTCGCTTCTGAAAAAGAGATACATAGCTCAGTGGGCCTTAACTGGTAAAATAAAATAAAAAGTTGCTAGTTTTTTTTTAATTTACACATTCTTGGGTGGATCGGTGGCGCAGTGAGTGGTCAGTGTGCTGCGCACGGAAACCCGGCCAGCCGAGTTTGATTCCCGGCAATGGTGTGAGTGAAATCCGAACCGGTCTTGGGGTTCTCCCACCCGACCATTCGTCAACCCGCATTGACCAGCGGGGTGAAGTATGTTAACACCCCCCACCCCACCATGACCGACCTAGCTTGGGGAGGTCTCCATCCAGCAGTGGATTGATAAGCAGCTGCTTTAGTCTCGTATACCGTGTGAACTCTTTGCTTTTTCTAGTTGGTGCCGTGGACTGCATCGCTCGCAAAACCCCCACGATTTTCTGTCTCGTTCGGGTCCTCCGTGGCCACAAGGAAGCGCATCCACTCGAGTCTTGCTCACACGAGGTCATCTTTGCGTGGGTGGTGCTTTACAGAACGGGCGGATGCACCGACGCTTTCGACCTGAGTTTGGAAACCCGTTCCACACACAGAGACTTGGACACTTACGGGAACTCCAATATACATCGACGCCACATGGACGTCAGTTGCCAGCACGATTGTGATGTGCATGGGTTGGTGAGTGAGCATATTGGGCCGTCAGGGACTGCGGTGTTGGGACAGCCCCGGTACAGACAGCCTGTGTGTGTAGAGTGCACCGCTTCTGTGTCGATCCACTGCTGGATGACGATCAAACCGAGCAGATTTGGTCGCGGGAATTTGTTTGACCACACCTCACCACGCCGGTCAGCGCGGGGTTTAGTGCAGAGGAAGCATGACCAGGAACCGACCGCTGCAGGTTTCACTGATGTTAGGCTGTGTTTATTGGTTATCATTAGCTGTGGTCAGGAATCGAACTCAGGTCGCCAGGCTCATCGTGCATGCAGTGCACAGACGCCACCCCAGCAGTAGGTAATGTGGATAGAAGATAAGAGCTGATTGTGTTATCAATTGATTACGTTTCTTAAAATAAAACACGAGCAGCTTTGGACGTGACCATCTGTCCGTTCCTTCCGCCAGGCAGTCAAACTTTTTTTCTTCTTCAACATAATTTGCTTGACCAGTCAATACTTTTTTTACAACGCGTTTGAATATTTTGTATGCATACACTGCAAGTATTTTAAACAATTCCCCTCTTATATGTGACACCAGTGCTCTATTAGATTGATCGGCAGGTCACGTGCGATGTGGGAAAAATGTGGTTATTCTCGCCTCTTTCAAGACGTCTTACCACCGTGGAAGAGTAGGCCAAATGCCCTCTAAGGGGGCACGAGAGCTCACACACTCGTGGATGTCCTTCCGTCAGCATTGGCTGCACCTTTTGCTTTCCCCGCTATCCTCTTGCAAAGCCGAGACAATATTAATATTATTTCAGTTGAAAGACTATTTCACTCGATCCCAAGTGTGCGTATGCATATGTAGCGAGTCAACATTATTCCGCGAATGTTGTCAATGTTTAATGACGGCTTGGTACGGCGAAATAAATGCATTCGAATCATATACGCAGCTTGTAGATATATGATGTTTCGCAGCTAAAATATATTCTAAGTTGGCTTTGGCACCCAACGTAGGAACGACGCCCGGCGGTCGAGACTAACGACGGATTGGCAGCCAAGGGAGGGAACGCGCCTGACAATCCGTCCCACGCGGAGATGGAGCGATACTGATCAACTCGTGTGGATGTGTTGGGGTTGATTGCAGGTGAGCAGGCTGCGGAGGCTGGGTCACGTAGCCCGCATGCCCAGGCAGCTTCTGTTTGGCCGGATAGAGGGGGCTAAATCGGCGCGGCACGGGCGAGAGAGGAGATGAAGCTGTTGTTGGTACCGGAGGATGTGGAGCTGAGTGGGCTTGCCGATGACCGGTACCAGCGGTGTTAAGATCGGCCTCCGTGGAGGAGGTTCGTGAAGGACGCTGCTGCTACTGGGCAGTTGGAGGCAGTCGCCCCTCCAGCAATAACGGAGGGCGGAGAAGCGACGCTCACAACAACGAGCGGAGCGCCGGGCGGGTAAAACGCGGTGAATCGGCACAGTAGGGAACCACGGGTGGTTTGCATCTGCCATCCCAGTCAACCCACAGCACCTGGGTCTGACCCGTGACCTCCTGCAAGCGGCGAGCCTTCGACACTTCAGGTGGCCCCATAAAGGTGCACGTAGCCTGGCACAAGCGCTGTGGTAACGTCACCGCCACTTCGTGGCGAATGGCTATTGTTGTTGTTGCTGTTGCAGCACAGCGGGAGTTAGCGACTCATTTGCGGAAGATTTTAATCCAGCAGTGGACTAATCATGGGTGATTCCAATAATAATAATGGCGATGATCATTGTCAATAATAACAAAACAAAAACATTCGGCTTTGCTCTCTGAGTCTGAAGAAGGCTGAGTTTTCAGGGGTGATATCATGCGTCATCATTATTGGTCGACATCGTTCAGCAACAGAAACGGTCCGAACGCGAGAGCTCGTGTCGCCACCTGCCGGGGACACCGGCAGACATTTCACGTTGCACCAATTCATCACCACCATCACCATCACCAATCAGATCCACGAGGCAGCCGTGATCGTTCTACTGCTGGATGAGATGGAGCGATTAGATTGGCTGTGTCGATTCACGTTGCACCAATTCATCACCACCACATCACCAATCAGATCCACGAGGCAGCCGTGATCGTTCTACTGCTGAATGAGATGGAGAGATGAGATTGGCTGTATGGATTCACGTTCCACCAATTAATTGTCACCACCATCAATCAGATCCATAAGGCAGCCGTGATCGTTCTACTGCTGGATGAGATGGGGCAAGGACATCGGCTGGATGGATTAAACGTTTCACCAATTCATCACACGTAGGCTCTCCGTGCCAACATTGGTTCTCATCTGCTGTTTACCGCCCTTAGTGGAAATCCCACATTAATATGGCGGGGATGGGGGGTAAGTATATCCATAGGACAACCGCCCCACAAAGTGGTACATATTTTATAGACAGGCGGGTATGATGGGCTGAGTCAACCAGGTGAGTTATATTTTATTTACTTGCTATTCAACGACTTATTTGCATTATTGCGTTGGTATTTTTTCTAATTAGCATAATATTTACTAAATGTATACGTTGCACATTCTCATTACCATAAGAACATATTTAAACAGCGGTTATATTCATTTTTCAAAAGTCACACTTATCCCATGTAGTATATCCAAACATTTCTCGACCTCACGCCGCTTATCAACTGTAGTAAATCCTAACACGCGTGGGGCAGTATTCCGCGCTCCGATTGGCCGAGCGCCTCCGACCAATGAAGTCGCTCGTCTCTCGACCGACATGGCTGCGCCCAGTGGGAGCGTGGCTGCACGTGGGCTGCGAGGGATCGCTTAGTCGAGACGGAGACTCGAGCCGAGAAGGCGAAACAGTGACTGCGACTGAACCATGATGAATCGCAGAGGCGGGGGAGGAAGAGGAGGGAGGGGAGGAGGTAGAGGAGGAAGAGGTAGAGGAGGTGGAAGAGGAGGAGGGAGAGGTAGAGGAGGTGGAAGAGGAGGAGGTGGAGGAGTAAGAGGACACAGGAAGGAGGAGGACAACTTGAGGCGGCTGCGAGTTTCTGTGGAAAAGTTCGCGAGGGGCGGAGACGGAGACTTCAAAGAAAGCGAGGGGTCGGACTTTCGGGGTCCCTCCAGGGGGCTCTCTAGGGGTTTCTCCCGTGGGGGTTCTTCCCGCGATGACTCGAGGGGTCCCTCCCAGGGTCTCGCGAGGGATCTTGCTAAAGGTGACGCGAGCGGCGTCTCGCGGGGTTCACACCGGGGTCTCTCTCGGAGGACTTCAAGGGGCGGTTCCTCCATGGGGGGTTACACGCGGGGCGTCTCCAGTGGTCTCCACAAGGATCCCCCACGGAGTGACTCCTGGGGCCCCCCGCAGGATCTCCCAAAGGGTCCTGGCGAGGGCGACGCCGGCGGTGTCCCCCACGGCCCCTGCGGGGGTCTCCTTTCTCGGGGTTCCGCTCAGGGCCCCTCGCGCAAGGAGAGGCGCAAGCGGGAGCGGGCGCTGAAGAAGAGCAAGCGGCAGGCGCACTTTGCCAAGTTCCAGCGGCATCGCCCTGACGGCGGCGATAAAAACAAGGGAGGAGGTGGTGGTGGAGACGCGGGCGGAGCAGCAGCGGCGGCGGCGGTAGCGAGCCGCAAGGCGCGGGGCAAGGGTCCGCTCGCGAGGGCCGACGCCGAGTCGGAGGGGAAGGAAGTGGGCAAGACGGAGACGCACGAGCGAGGGCTGCACGAGACGAAGGTTGGCAAAAGGAAGAGAATCTACGACGACGACGACGGCAGCGAGGGCGAGGATAGCGAGGGCGATGTTGGCGACGAGGTGAGGGCGACGCGAGCCGACGAGGTGAGGAGGATGGGCCTGATGGAGGCGAACCGAGCGGAGGAGAGGGAGATAAAGCGCCTGGAGAAGCTGCTCCACATGGACAAGAAGAAGAAGAAGGGCAAGAGGGGGGGAGAGTCGGAGGAGGCGAGGCTTCCGCAGGCGTTCATGCTGGACGGCCTGGACTACATCCTGGACGCAGTGAGCGGGCGGAAGGCGCTCGCGTTTTACGAGGAGGACGATGAGGTGAAGCGAGAGGAGGAAGAGGTGAAGGAGCATAGCCTGCGCCGTCTCGAAGAGGCCACGGGCAACAAGGCCGCGATCCCGGAACGGGAGCGACAGAAGATGGCAGGGAGCGGCGATGGGGCGTCTTCCGAGGACGAGCTTGGGTTGTCGGATGATGAAGATGATGAAGAGGAGGAGGAAGAGATATCGGGCGACGAGGAGGAGGGTGAGGGAGGAGGCGATCAGAGCGAAGAGGAGGAAGGAGAAGATGACGTGATTGATGATGAGCTCGCAGGACAGGAGCAGTTGTCAGCTGTAGAAGATAATGATGATGTAGAAGATGATGATGACGACGATGTAGAAGATGATGATGACGATGTAGAAGATGATGATGACGATGTAGAAGATGATGATGGTGATGACGGTGACAGCGCCTCGAATGATGATGCGTGTGAGAGCGGTGGTGATGAAAACGACCAAACTAGCGTGAGTTAAAGAACAACACAAAGTGTAAATAAACAGCGGGGTAACGTGAAAACAGACTTAATTATTCACGTTAACACGTAGGCTTTCAGATTTTAATTCCTGAAAGTTCAGTAATTGAGGTTTTCATTTTTATACTTTTATTAGTATCATCACAGTGGGGATGTAGCAATTCACAGATTCAGTGAAATGTTACACACTTCACTGTTGCATTGTGGCGAGTGATGCGGCCTCTAGCGGCTGCACTGTTTTCCTGTAACCGAGTGTTTTTCAGAGGTGTGCCGCGCTGCACTGCGAACCCGGCGACCCGAGTTCGATTCCCGCTCACGGCCATCGCCAGCGACGATTATCTGAATCGGTCCTGGGCCTCCCCTAGGTCGACTCGGCCTCAAAAGAGTAACTGGTGTGGTGTGTGAACATCGCCACTGGGGAGACAAAGGCGGTCGGGCGTGATGCTGGTCACCCATCCCCTAGTGTACCGTTCCGGCCTTCATAGGTGCTCGCTAACAGCTCTTACCCCCAACTCAACTGTAAAAAATGTTTTGTTTTACCAGGTAAGTCCCACAAATGATAGCTCAACGAAGTGGCTTATCGCGCGATTTGTTTTTGTTATAGCAGCCAAATACTCTAAACGCCTGTTTCTTAATGTGGAGGGAAAAAACTGGAGGACCCGGAGAAAAAATCCACGCGACCACGGGGCACGAGACATGCAAACTCCAAATTTACAGGCGTCGGGATTGAACCCACGATCTCCTGAATTCCAGGCGAGGTAGTTAACATCTCGCCACCGTGGCACCGGGTGGATTTTGTCAATCCACCGCTGGGAGAGGGCTTCTCCCACCCCACCCATGCCCTGCAGGGTATGAGAGTCATGACCATGCCTCACTACTCTGGTCAAATCGGGTTGGTGATGGCAGAGAGTGAGCCATTAGCAGAGCTGTCCAGTGTCCAGACGGTTTGCAACTGCATCGGTACCCACGGTTCTTCGAAGAAGAAGGGAGGGGGGGGGTTGAAAATTAGACCGCGTGGCCCATTCATTGTTCACACCGGGGGGGGGGGGGGGTCCACGCTAAGCACGCGCGACGCCAACTGTGGGAACCGTAAATTCAGACGCGGGAGCATCGGTTGTAAAGCTACAATAATGGATCTTTTTGTTGTTGTTGCACTGCCATCCGTTGTAAGCTGTGCAATGTGCCTGGTTTTCATTCGTGCAGCTTCCGGCTGCTGCTGCTGCTGCTGCTTCTGCGGACGAAACCCAAGCCGTAAAGTACGTCCCCCCGTACCAGCGCATGCGGCCTCCCGAAGAAGACGCCAAGAAAAAGGAGGAGCTGCAAAGGCTGAGCAAGACCGTGAGAGGGCTCGTTAATCGGTGAGGGCTGCTCGAGGTTTTCTCGGTGAGGCTCGACAAGGGGACGTGTCGTGAACCGGCGAGGGCCTTTTTCTCCCGTCAGCCCTGTCCTGCAGGTGCACCGGTTTCCTCCCGCTTGTAAGCGCTCATTCTTTGGCCAAAACCATCTTCAATGTGTACAGGGACTCCTGTACTTAAGAACGAATTATGCTCCGGAGGTCTGTTCATAAGCCGATTTGTTCGTCCAATTATACTCCTGTCGATTCCAAACCCGTGGTACAGCATGTACACTAAACACGGGGAATGTCTTTAAAAGTTGTATAATCTCCTGTAGATGTAGATGCCACTGGCTCTTCACGTTCTGCAGATGTGGATGCCACCACAGCCATCTTTTGCACTGCGGTTGAACTTACGACTCTCGGTCCCAAACAGGCAACTGGACATGCGGACAGGTTTATTCGTATCTCTGAAAGTTCGCAAGTCGAATGTTCAGAAGTAGAGGAGTCCCTGTATAGAGGAGCGTGGAGCCTTGGCTTGGGGCGGCTGTATTCCTGCCCGCGTGTGGTACCTCTCACGTCACGGACGGTCCGTCGCTCGTCGTGGGCGTGTGAATGGTGTGCGGCGCGTTGCCGATCGAAATCAGTGCCTACATTATCACAGACCAATTCAGACCTTATTGGTCACCCCGTGCCCCTTATAAATCTCAACGTTCATCCTACAAAGTCCCACCACGAGGGAGAAACACAAACACAGAGACAAACTTTTTTTTTTTTTTGCCCGTATTGAATCGGCTGTGCGCCATACCGACCTGTAAACTCAAATTTCCCTGTACAAGGATACGGGGTAAACCGTGATGGGTCGACAGCTATGAAATTATTATTATCATCATCATCATCATCGTCAAATGCACAAATCGAAACGTCTGCGGATGCGCCTTTGCCCAGCACGCGCACGGGCGGCACGGCAACATTTGGTGCCACTTTGCAATTTGTATTCCTCTCTCCCCCCCGCCCGCCCCGCCCGCCCCTTCCGCCGTGGTAGGCTGAGCGAGGCGAACCTGCCGTGGGTGAGCGGCCAGCTCGAGGAGCTGTTCCTGCGCCACAGCCGGCACGACGTGACCGGCACGCTGACCGTCGCCGTGCTCGCCGCGTGCGTCACGCCGGCCCCCACTCCCGAGCGACTGCTCGGGGAGCACGCCATGCTCGTCTCCGCGTTGCACCACAACGTCGGCGTGGAGGTGACGCAACCCCGTGACCCCTGACCCTTCCTCCCCCCCCCCCCCCCCCCCCCCCCCTTGATCCCGCCGCCCACCCCACCCCCACGTGTGTGCGCGCGCGCGTGCGATCGTCGCGGCGGTGAGCGTGGTGGTTTAGCTCGCTGCGCGCAAAAAAAACCCGAGTTCGATTCCCCGCTCGCGGCCATCAACACCAGTGATGATTATCTGAACCGGTGATGGGCCTCCTCTAGGTCGACTCAGCGCCAAATGCGTGTGCGGTGCGGTGTGCAAACTTCGCCACTGGGGGAGGCAAAGTCGGCCGGGCGCGTCGTGTTGGCCACCCACCCCCCTCGTGTGCCGTCGCCGGCCTTCACAGGTGCTCGCTGCCAGCGCTCGCCCCCCAGTGCTCTACACGTTGGGGGCGGGGTGGACGACCTTTGTAATGCTGTTGTTCTTCATGCGGACAGATCGGCGCCGCTTTTCTCGAGGCTCTGGCCAAACGCTTCGACGCGCTCCACCGCGCCCGAGACGGCGACGACGGCGGCAAGGAGCGCGAGAACGCGGCGGCGCTGCTGGCCCAGCTCTACCTGACGCGCGTGGTGCACTGCTCGCTGGTGCTCGACGTGCTGCGCCGGCTGGTCGCCGCCTTCGGCGAGCGCGACCTCGACGCGGCGCTGCTGCTGCTGCGCTCGAGCGGCACGTCGCTGCGGCGCGACGACCCGCTGGGGCTGCGCGAGCTCGTGGCCGAAGCGCAGCGCAAGGCCGCCGCGGTCGGCGGGGCTGTGGCGGCGGCCCGAGGGGCGCCCGCCGACGGCACCGCTCGCGACGGGACCAGGGTGAGCGGGCGGTTGTTTGGTTGTTTGGTTGTTTGTTTGTTTGTTTTGGGCGCGGCACGAAACGGTGGGAATGGTCCGGGCACCTCCCCCGATCGGCACGGTCGGCTGCGTACGGTGCGGAAGAAGTTCACCGTGCGGGAAATCGGAGATGAGCGTAGCACCCGGCAGTCCCGCATAGATATCTCTGTACAGGCAGGGTCCCCTCTTTTACGACGTTACAACGCCATCCTTGAAACCCCGTCGTAGTAAATCGGACCACTATTTTCCCCACAGAGAGTAGAAACGTCACTTGCCGATGTGTTTTTCCTTCTGTCGGCCGTGTTTAACGGTGTTTGAGTAGGTTACAAAGTCCACACCAATGCTTGAGGATAACGAAAGCCCCACGCCAAGTCCACGTCGGACTGCAGACGCGTTCGGGAGTCGTGTGGGATGATGCTTCCGTCATCGAGTTTCCGCGTCGTCAATCGATCCACGGTGGCGTCGTATAAACCTCGTGAATGTTGGTCGTGAACCAGAGGCCACCTGTGTATGTAATTCACAAGTGGCTGTCCCATCACACTGCATCTACCAGGTTTGCAAATATATACGTAACATATGAATACATATATAGCATTGCATTGTGTGTGTCGGGGCAAGTGCTCGCGAGCAGCACTTGCCTCCCAACAGTCTGTTCGGGCTATACGGGGCGATCTTTGTGTTTGTGGGTAGCGGCAGTTGTAGCGGTTAGCGCTACGCTGCGCTACTCCGAAACCGACGACCCGAGTTCGATTCCCGCTCACGGCCAACACCAGCGACAATTATCTGAACCGGTCCTGGGCCTCCCTTAAGTCGAATCGGGCTTACATGAGTACCCGGTGCGGTGCGTAGTAAACATCGCCACTGGGCGAGACCAAGTCGGTCGGCAGCGCGCGCCCTTGCCGGCCTTCATCGGCGCCGCTCGCGAAGAAGCGCTCGCCAAACCCCGGCGGTCTGTTAAAGGCTACGTGGGGTGGGGGGTGGGGTATCCTTGTATATACGCGTGTTTTTTTTCAACGCAGGTGCGCTACCTCCTGGATACGATGCTGGCGCTCAAGAATAATGATGTGCGCAAGATTCCCGGGTACGACCCGAGTAACCTGGAGAGGCTGCGCAAGCTCCTCCGCTCACTGGTGAGCGGCTCGCCCTTGGAGCGTTTTTCGTTATTTTTTTATTAACCCCCGCAAGTTGATCCCCATCGTGATATCGGCCGTCATGTCACGTGACGAATAACATAGTCCGTTGAGAATCTGTCGCGGGACGGTGCAATCTTTGCCGTTTAAAAAACGGCCCACGGAAGCAGATGCGATAGAGCTACCACTGAGATGTCTTCAAGTGATCGATTGTTAGGCTCGCACAGTACGGAGCAGCACTTTCCCACCGCCTTGCTACGTGGAATAATGTTCGGCGCATTTGTCGCATGACAGCAACTCGCTACTCTTGATAACCACAGGCAGCAGCCTGGATTCGAACCCAGGCTCTCAGCCACCCGGCCGCCTCAACAAGCTTTTAAAAAAAAAAAAAGGTATTTAAAAATGTACATTTTTTGTTCAAACTAACAACTTGCGCATCATTTGGACGTGACTATATCTTCTCTCTCCTCCCAATACATTGTAAAATTTCTAGAATTTTGACAGTAGGCATTTCACAATGGAAAACATTCTTACGCTCGCAGGGCCCCAGAGTAAAGAGTGATGAATTAATCGGTTGATTTCTATGCTGTGAATGAAGGCGGGGGGGGGGGGGGGGCGTGATGCATTCAGCCGAGGAATGGCACGGTGGCGAGATGTTAACCACCTCACCTTGTATGCAGGAGGTCGTGGGTTCGATCCCGGCCCTGATGCCTGTATTTTTGGAGTTTGCGTGTCTCTCTCTCTCCCCGTGGTCGCGTGGAATTTTCTCCGGGTCCTCTGGTTTGTCCCCTCCACATTTAGAATCACAATCACGCGTTTAGTGTATTGGCAGCGATACATTTCCACGTGATAAGCCACTTCATTGAGCTATCATTTGTGGCCAGGTCGCTTCTGAAAATTAGCTACATAGCTCAGTGGGCCGTATCCTGGTAAAAAAAAAAAAAACTAGTTTATAGTTTAGTTTAATAAACGGAAGCGGGTGTCTATCGACGAAGCCTGTGTATTTGAAATGCAGACATATCTTACCTTTATCTCGTGTACGTACTTACATCAGCATCAGCCACAATCTATCCACTGCTGGATGAATGCGCCGAATTATTTACCATTGTAAGGGCTGTCCCCCCTCCTCCGTGCCCTGCGTGTATGGACACATACACACACACATTCAGGGGCTCCTCTACTTACGCACATTCGACTTACAAACCTTCAGAGATAGGAACAAACCTGGTCCGTATGTCCAGTTGCCTTTTTGGACCGAGAGTCGTAAGTTCAACTTCGCGCAATAGATAGCGGTGTTTGTTCGGTGTCATTACCCAGAATTCCCAGCATTTCTGCGCAGGCCTCTACATCTGCAGAACATGAAGAACCGGTGGCTTTTACATCTACAGGAGATAATACAACTTTTAAAGCCATTCCCCGTGTTTAGTGTACACGCCTTACAACATGTTTGGAATCCACAGGAGTAAAGTTGGACTTGCAAACAAGACCTCTGGAACTAACTCGTTCGTAAGTAGAGGAGTCCCTGTACTTCTTTGGTTCTTTCGGTAAAGTCACGTAGAATGAGAATAAAATAATACATTGATAAAGTAAAATAACGTAATTAAAATTCTCACGACGTTTCGGCCACAACACAAGCGGCCTTCATCAGGCTGAAGGCGACGAGACTGTCTGGAGGACAGCGCTGGAGCGAACACAGCCAAGCACCGTACGTAGCCAACCGTGTTAATCGGAGGTGCCGCCCCCCCCCATTGCCCCCCCCTCCCCACCCCGCCGTTTTTCCCAGGTGCGCTCGCAGGCCGGTGGCGACAGCGACCGCGTGCTGCGCGTGTCGCTGGAGCAGCTGCTCTCAGCGGACCGCGTCGGGCGCTGGTGGATCGTCGGCTCGTCGTGGAGCGGGGCGGCGCCTGCGAGCACGGGCGCCGCCGGAGGCTCGGCCCAAGCCGGCGAGGAGCGGCCTGAGCTGCCGGTCGGAGGGGAGGTGAGCATTTTTGCGTATGCCGCTGTGGCGTGAGATGTCAAGAGGTTGAAGCCAGCGGGGAGGAAGCTTGCCACCAAACATAGAACGCCTTCACGACCTCTACCCCAGTGAGCATTGATTCTTAAGAGCATTCATTTGGGCATTTAGGCACTCCGCCACCACCCCTTGCCGCCCCCCCCCCCCCTCCCTTGTATTTTTTTTCCCTTCTCCTGCAGGGGTATCAGAGCTTAAGAAGACACCAGGGGGTTCTAGAGTTTATTGAAGCAGTTTATTGAAACGTGGTTTAGACAGGTTTGCATTGCACTGAAATCCGTAATGTGTTTGTGCTGGCGTCAACCTCCTTTCATACCCTCTTGAGTACGTGAATCGCCTTGTTAATAAAATACTTTTGACACTCTGGTTGTCGCCTGACGACGCTGAGTGTACTTACCAGCGAAACGTCTCACTCGAATTGCAAATGTTGTGGGTTTACTCTCCAACACACCGCTGTGCTGAACTAGTCACGAATTGGCATTTTTTTTTTTACGTGACAAACCTTACTAATTGGTTGTGTGGGGTGGTGGCGGGTTTTAACGACACGTTTATACTCACGTGATCTAACCCAAAAACCTCCATTGTGGAAAATACTTTAGAAGCAAAAAAAAAAGACGTGAAGCCAACGGACAGCATCTCTCGGCAGCGCTCAACGGATCCGATGTTTCGGAAACCTCCGCAGACTCGGTAACAACGCACGGCGAACATCCTAACGAATCTGGTGGCAACCCGGCGTGCAGATGAGCGCCAAGATGATGGAGCTGGCGCGCAAGCAGAGGATGAACACGGACATTCGGCGCGGGATCTTCTGCGTGCTCATGACGAGCGAGGACTACGTGGACGCCTTTGAGAAGCTCGTGCGGTGAGGGTCCAGAGTTTAAGAGTCCGTCGTGTATTTCGGTTCCCGCGGAGGTGTTGAAAGAATTAGAATAATAGTAATAATAAAAACACACACGGGGCTGCGATGGATTTGTTTGCTCACGCCACTGCTGGCGGAAGGGTTTCTACTTGCGGGAGCTCGAGGGAGAGCGTATTTTGGCCTACTCTTTCATGCTGGACAGATTTCTTGTAGAGGTGGGAGTATGGGGACACACTTTAGCCCACTGCACGCGGCCTGCCTATCGACCAACTGGCCTATAGACCCTGGTTTAACCACGGGTGGCTGAATCCCAGATACAAAACCTAGAATCTCTCTTTCTCTCACCCTTGAGCCACCACCTAACCACCTCCCTAACGATGATCCCACTTCTTATTGTGAGTCCGGAGCCTGGACGATTGATCAACTGTTAAATCGACTTTTTTTATTGTTAATTAAACACAAGCGGCCACCGCAACTTCCCACCCTGTCGAAGGTGGGAAACCCCCAACAAGCGACGCCCAGTGCGATGCGGCCGGTGATACCCACGGCTTCGCCAAATCTCCCCCGTCACCTCCCGTCCCCCGGCACGTGCGGGAACAGGGGTGATTTCCACCACCCCTCCCCACCCGCCGCCCTCCCCAACTGATTTCGTGTTGTCTGACGACGAGTCGGATGATAATCGAGTCGGTTGTGGAGTCGATGTCTGAGATAATCGAATAGCCCATCTCCAACATGAGCCCATTGCACTCATTCACTTCCTTCTGGTCCCTTGAGGCATGCATCAAACGTCCATTGGATCTGCGTGGTGTTTTTTTTTGTCGAACGTCTCGGTGCCGAAAGATTACGAGCTCTTCCTGGCCGTGTTCTCTCGGTGAAAGGGTACCAACCTTCCCCTAGGTGGCCGAGGATGGCTCGGAGGACGGAGCGCTGAGCTCTGGCGTCGTTAGGATCCTGGGTTTGAATCTTGAGTTTCGGCGAAACCTTTCCGATGCTTTGCACTCCTGTCGTGTTTTTGCATTGTTCGTTGTTGTGGCCTCTTCTGACCTGGCCCCTTACAGGATATCTGTGAAAAAGAGCTTTGTAGCTCATCGGATTACTCCAGGATAAATAAATATTAGGATTTCTGACAAGTGTGCAGCGAGTTGGCGGCCTCGGGCCTGGCCACCAATGACTGCATGAAAAAAAACTACCCGATAATTTACGGTTCTTGCAATTGATTTGACTAAATCCCAGCGCTGAGAATCAAAAATAACCACGCGGCAAAACCGTTTAGTTCCCATAGCAGGGAGCGAGTGGAATAGTTTGCTGCCCCACTCTACATTGTGAGCCTGGTCACTTGAAGGCATCTCGGGGGTGGGTCTCTCTGCGAAAGCCGCTTCCACGGTGGCCCCGTCGTCACGCACAAAGTTGTCCGCGCCGCTGCTGTGGGGAGATCCCCGTTGGGATGCTTTCGTCTCGCGACGTGACAACGAGCGTAGCGGGGATTTTATTTAAAAAAAAAAATGCGAGAGAGGAAATCGGGAAGAAAACTGTTGTGGCGGTCGGGGCTGACCCGTCGCACCGCGACCCTTCTTTTGCAGCATGGGGTTGAAGGAGAAGCAGGAGAGGGAGATCGTGCACGTGCTCATGGACTGCTGCTTGCAGGAGAAGTCCTTCAACCCCTACTACGCCTACCTCGGACAAAAGCTCTGCCAGTTTGACCGCAGGTTTAAGGTGAGCGTGCCTCTTGTGTTTTCAGGTATATATATGTAGATATACAGGGTTTTATGGATGATTATTGGTCGCGAAAGCACTGCGTGTTAAACACGTATGTAGATATTGTCAAATTAAGAGAAGAGAGCGGTTTAAACTAGCAAGTCTGACGGCTTGCTTTCAAACATTCGATTGGCAATAACCGACGATCTGATTTTGAATTGCATTTTTGTCGTGGATTTTTGTTTTTGCCAATGCCGAAAAACTGAAAACAAAAGAGGCCCTCGTGTGTACGCTTTCGCGCGACCAGATGACATTTCAGTTCAGCATGTGGGATCGCTTCAAGACCCTGGGAAACCTGAACGCCACAGCCACCACCAACCTCGTCAACGTCCTGAGCCACCTGCTCGTCCACAAGGGCCTCTCCGTGACTGTGTTCAAGGTGAGCCGCGCGCGGAGCGTGGCCCTCGAATGCATGGTGGTCCGTTCGGCCTCGGTTGGACCAACTGGCTGTTGCACCGAGTGCCGAGATGTGATACGGCGTTATGATCGTACACGTATAGAGGGTGCTTCAAAAAGATGTTAACATTTCCGAGAATTTGCAACAATACCACGAGGAATGTGCCTCCGGGCTCTGGAGACCACCTGGATAATATTACAGGGCACGCGGTTTACAATGATGGCGAACAAGTGGAGTCTCTTTGACTTTATGAAGCTATTAGCATATATTTGTTATTATGTTACAGTGTTTCATCTTCTTGGTTATTTCAGTAAAGTCGCGTAGAAGGGAAATAATAAAATAATTAAAATTAAACACAACAAAGTAATTTTCATTATTTCATTATTTCCCTTCTACGTAACTTTACCGAAAGAACCAAGAAGATGAATCCCTGCAGTCACGAAAGCTTTAAATCGAAAAAATGTTACATTGTATTATCCGTCCTTTTTTCATTCAAAGCGATAGTCCCATAGGTGTATGTACACATGACCAGTGTGGTGGAGTGATATGTGAACTGTCCCTGGGCCCCCCCTGCCCTTCAAACTCCTGCATTGACCAGCCGTGGGTCCAGTGTTAGTCGATGGACTGTAGAGTTAACCACTCTAGTCTGCGCTCCTTCAATGGAGGAGGAATAGCAAAAGCACGCACACACACACACACTGTCATGCAGCCCTCTCGTCGTGGACAGCAGCAGACCTCCACATTGGCACTTGGCTTCGAAACATATTGCTGCCGCCATCATGTGCAAAGGATAGAATAGCTTATGGGGCAATGTTAGTCTGTGGACATTACCGTTAACGGAGGAGGGGAAATCGCAAAGCTACACGAACTCTCTCTCCTGAAGCTCTCTCGTAATGCCGAGCCGACCTCGACACTGGCACCTCGCTCCTGAACGTGTTGCCACACGCAAGAATAGAATAATAACACTATGTAACACGATCTTTTTTCCTGGGTTGTAAGTGTTATTTCCTAATTGCTTATGCCGCAAAAGTAAGGAAAATGGCTATTATTCCCCACAAACTTTGCTTTTGTGACCAGGACACAAAAAGCAAAGTTAATAATTAATTCAACCTGGCACTGTGGAGACGAGGGACTGGTCATTTTGAATGCTTTTAAGTTCATAGGTCCCTTGGCCCACCGACTCTCTCCCGAAGTCCCCTCGTGGCTAGCAGACCTCGATGTTGGCATCTATTTCCCGAACGCTTTGCCGCTGCCGTGCGCAAGGATAGAATCGCAGCGATGACCCTCGTCAGCATTCGCGTGGCCGCTGTGTCGCCCTCTTCTCTTTTCGCAAAAACAAGGCGTTGGAGTTCAGCGAGATGGACAAGCTGTCGGTGAAGTTTCTCCGTCAGGTCCTGCAGAAGCTGCTCCTGGAAGCCTCCGAAGAGCATCTGCCCGACATATTTTCAAAGTGAGAAAAGCGCGGCGCACGTTTTTCTTTTCTTTTTAAACGAGCGATGAAAAGCGTGCGCGTGCGTGGACGCCTGCGGACAGAGCGCCATCTTGCATTGGAACGACAATAGGGCCCAGGCATATATATACATTAAAACCTTGGATTGCGAGTAACTTGGTCTGCGAGTCTTTTGCAAGATGAGCAACATTTTTAAATAAATATGAATTTGATAAACGAGCGAGGGTCTTGCAATACGAGTAGTAGTACGTATAGACGCTTTGTCTGCCGAGCGTCACGTGATCACAACTGACATACGAGTGCTTTGATATGCGAGCGCTTTGGATTACAAACATGTTTCCGGAACGAATTATGCTCGCAATCCAAGGTTTTACTGTACATCGGTTGTTTACGCGTTCACAGAAGATGTTATAATGGGCGCCGCCCGAAAACCCATCGGGAGGGCTATGCGGGGCAACTACAAAATTGCTTTGTTGACGCGCCGCTCTCTGCCCCGGCGTTACAGGGCGGCGGGCAACCCCAAGCTTGCTCTGCTCCGGGAGGGACTCAAGATTTTCATGCGGCACTTCATGCTGCGCGGAGCCGCGTCGGGGGACGCGGACGAGGCCGAGCTACTGCGGCAGAGGATCGAGGTGGCGGAGAAAGCCCTGGAGCAGGAGCGGAACCCGGCCGTGAATCTGTGATGGTCGCACGAACGCACGCAGAGGGCGGCCCGCCCGCTGTTACCGCTGCTATTGTCGTCTCCACAAGAACACTCTGCGCCGCCAGTCCCGTGCTTCGGTCAGGGAGGCCTAGTGATGCGGCAACACCGGTGATGTGTCGTGCAAAACTCGATCCCCGCGATAATCCCATCGTCCGTTTTGATAAATGTTGGTTCAGCGCCGATGAGCTTTGCTCATTTACGTTTTTAAAAATATATTTTCCGATGAAATATTTATTGAATTGTGATGTTCGTGGTAACTTGCCCATTAAATAGGTGCTCTCCAAAACGTTTTCTCGAGTTATCGAGTCACCCGGTCTGACTTTCGATGTGTTTGTCGTGCTGCACGACTCCGATGCGTATTTGTTCCACGGAAAGTCACGGTGAGCCAGTTGCCCATCTAGTTCACAACAGAAAAAAACAACATCAAAGGGATGTGTACAGAAGAAGAGGCATCAACGGAACAAAACGTGAGGGGTGCACAGGCAACCACAGTGCTTAAAAGAACAAAAAAATAAGCCACAGGCATTGTGCACCGAAACAAGAACGAGGTAATGAACACCCCCGAGCAGCATGGTTGGCCATGTACGGTGCGAAAGAAGTTCAACATACACATGGGACAGGTGATTGCCCACTTTTTACTGCGCTACCACCCCCTGGCGATTGGGTATGGCTCCTCGAAGCCCACGGGAAGGAAGTTTCACAACATTTGTCTGATCCTCCAAACCTCGCCTCCAGAGTGCTGCATTGCAGGTGTGTGCCGCCACCATTACCTACACCCAGCCAGCCATAAAGTGATTAAATTATTATTTCGCCATTCTAGTGCTTTTGAGATTTTGAATTCCAGTTCCAAACACTTCAAGTTTATATTTCGGGCAGTGGGACGCTACGTGTTCCATGGTTTGGAGTTTGCCAGGGCTGACTTCGGTGGCAAAAGTGATATTTAACCCAGTCCTGGGGTATGCACTTCAACACACATTGACCAGCATGGGGGAGGTCGTCAGCAGTAGAGTGACGAAGGGCCTGGCGATGTTACTTTTGTTATTGCAACATCAATTGTAAATACTGTAAATGTAGAACTTTGTTACGGTGATTGAATCCATCTTTGTGAAAAGTAAAACGCTTTTCTATTACATTTTAAATTAACGTGTGCCTTGTCCGCTCTCGGTGAATTACAGTAAACACATTCCGATCACGAATATAATTTCAATTGCCCTGACATATCTGTGCAATAGAAGACTGAATGGAAAAATGTGTCGGCTTTTTCGAAACTATTCAAAACATTTACTGACATTAAACTATACAATTCGCTGTCTTGTGAGAAATTTCGTAAAGGCAGAAACATTCCTGAGCTGTGTGTACCGGTCTATCCAACCCGCACTGGTGGGTTGGCTGTGATCCTGGCAACCTGATTTATTTTCCCGGCCATGGCAAAAATCACTCGAATAGTATCTGAACTTGTCTGAGTCTCTGTGCCCTTCATCATTTATTGTGTTGACCAGCATGGTGAAGTATGGTTAAATTATCCCCCATGGCTGACAAGACGTGGGGTGGTGGTCTTCATCCAGCAGTGGGTTAATAAACGACGTACTTGTGACGGTAAGAGATGAATGAAGACGTAATGAAGCTGTCATCTTTGAGATGGCTAATATCAAGTGTCAGGAGGTTGCTGATTTTGGACTACCTCTAAGCAACAGTCTAATGCCTGGAAGAGTCAAATGATGAAAAGGATATCTCTACTCCGCGTCATTCCTGCTGTATAAAATGAATAACGTTTTTCTCGTGCAATGCAGTAACCTCCAAATAGGACGGTTGGCTACGTGCGTTGTAAAAGAGGTTCAACGTCGTGAGTTCTAAGTGCATTGCAAGTGGGGAGAACAGTTTGAAAACAAAGTCATTTTTTTCTCCCATGGTGATCATTTTTAAGATTTGACGAACACCATTTGGACGTATTGGCGACACACCGGTGCACCATAACGCACCAGAGTCCTCGTAAGACAGTCTGACGATGTCGCTGTTGCCCCTTGACTGAGCTGCAGATTCTCGCACGACAAGTCGCATTCTATTCCGCAGCCGCTTTCCCAATCGAACGTGTGCCTGAATCTAGGAACCGTCTAAGTCAGACATGGGCAAAGTACGGCCCCCGGGCCGTATACGGCACGTTGGGCTTTTTTAATCCGGCCCGCCGAACTTATTAAATTACATTTTACATTTCTCCTGTAATGCCCCCATTTTTTTATTAGATGGCGCACTTTGGGAGTTACGACATGTTTTTATATTGTTCATGTTCGTGCAATTTGTTAAATTGCCTTGCAAATTAATGCTTTTCTACCTGTAAAAGGCCAAATCCTTTCATTTAATGATTTTTACATTTCATTTATATTAGTTCACACAAGCACTCCATCGATCTGTTCCTGGCCCGGCCCCTCTGTCAAATTTTAGAACCCATTGTGGCCCGCGAGTCAAAATTTGCCCATCCCTGGTCTAAGTGTAGGGCACGAGGAGTCAAATCTAGCTGCCTTTGGAACACTGGGAGCCAGCCAATCGTCACCAGGCTGGGTGCTGCTATACGGGAACAGACCGTGAAGCTTCGTGTTCAGCTGCTCATGTAACATTCGTCTTCCGACATGACGACAATGATTGACACATTCACACTAGGGTTGCTATCCACGAGGTACAACAAATTGCTCTTTTATACTGCACACTGGTGTACCGCCAATACGTTAATTTATTAAATGACTCCGAAATCCTTGCGATAAACAAAACGCTGACATAATTTCTCAATTGAAAACCTATAGAGAATCACCTTATAAGTCGTAGAGGCACTGAACACACTGACTGTTAACCATCTGGCCGGGTATGACCCAGTCATTCTGAGAAATGGCATCTGTTTCACAGGTGTAAGGAATTGATTTGTACTGTTAAGATATGGTGGTAGTATTGTGCTGAACTTTTATCACCGCAGTATTCTGCAAAGTGTCAATAGACCTTGGACTGACTGAAAGATATTTACGACTAACTTTTTATTTTACCAGGTAAGGCTCGCTGAGCTATATAGATATTTTTCAGAAGTGACCTGGCCACAAATGAAAGCTCAACGAAGTGGCTTATTAGCATGTGGGAATTTATAGCATGTTTCTAAATGCGGAGGGAAAACATGCAAACTCCAAATATACAGGCGTCATGGTCTAGATTGAACCCGCGATCTCCTGCATACCAAGCGATGTAGCTAACATGTCGTCACCGCAGCGCCCCTGTATATGTTCGGGTTTGGTCTAAACTGTAGTGGAATAGTTGGCAACCCTATTACAGTGCTCAAAACGTGGAAAATTTTACTCGGATTAGAGTTCATGCCAAGGCTTAGTGGCACCTGTGTTTGTCATGGACGAGCAATGTCAACTTTGTGGCGCGAGTTTCTATCAGGCTCGGCAAATATTGACCAAAAAGACCGGACGTAGCGGCCACACGGCAATGATCCGGCAACGTTGATGTGGCGGTTTGTGGATCATGAAAATATTTAATCCATTTTGCACCTCCGGCAAATATGTGCCCGATAAACAGTAGAGGTGTGTATGCAGTACATGTATACAATAGGTTGGGATTGGGTAGGACTCGTCATGGCTATAAGGGATAGTTGCTGACAGACGATCAAGCACAATTAGCGGTTGGACAGCCAAAGCATGGGATGGAAGGAACGCGTCCCGTGAAGGACGTCCAATCAAGGCGATGAAGCGATGAAATTAGCTCGTGTACGGACGGGAGCTAGGTGGATCAGCTGCATCAGGGTGACCGTGAGATGACCAAGGCTTTGGGGAGTCCTTCAGCAGTGGGTATATCATGACAATGATGAACCGTTTAAATAAAAAAAAATAATTAGTTAAAGGTATTGCTGTAGAAGGATACTGCATCTCAACTGGACCCAACGACTGACCGACGTAGAAGAAAAGGGCTGCGTATACAAGAAGACCTGATAATGATGATGCAGGCAGTGATGATAAATAAACTGGCACTATTTGGACAATGGAGAGATGTTAACTGGTTCGCCTGGTATACATGGAGGTCGTAGGTTCGATTCCAACCCTGACGCCTGCTGTATATTTGGAGTTTGCATGTTTATCTCCCCGTGGTCGCGTGGATTTTTCTCCTTCCATATTTAGAATCAACGTGCCTTTTAGAGTATTCGGCTGCTATAAATGTCTACGTGATAAGCCACTTCGTTGAGCTATCATTTGTGGCCAGATTGCTTCTGAAAAATAAGTATATAGGTCAGTGGGTCTTATCTGATCAAATAAAACATTGCTTTTTATAGTTTTATGGAGGATGGACAACAACATTTTAATTAAAAGTGTTCCGAAAAATGGAAGGAACCGGAAAGAGAGGAAGACTTAGAGAACAAACCTGTCAACCCCTTATCAGTGCCTATCTTATTACAGACCAATTCAGACCTTATTGGTCACCCCCGTGCCCTTATAAATCTCAGCGTTCACCTACAAAGTCCCATCACAAGGGAGAAACACGAACAAATAGACACATTGTTTCGAGTGTGCCCGTTTTGTAACGGCTGTTGCGCCCTATGGACCTTGAAAACTCAATTTACCTGTACAAGAATACAGGTAAACCGTATGGGTTGACAGGTGTGGTATTTATGTGGGTCTGTGTGTCTCTGTGGGTCTCTGTGTATCTCTGTGGGTCTCTTTGGGTCTCCATACCTGTCAATCCCTTAGCGGTGCCTATCTTATTACACACATTATTGGTCACTCCCTGCCCTTATACATCTCAACGTTCATCCTACAATGTCCCATCACAAGGGAGAAACACAAACAAATAGACACATTGTTTTGTGTGCCCGTAATGTAACGGCTGTTGCGCCGTATGGACCTGCAAACTCGATTTTTCCCTGTATAGGAATACAGGGTAAACCGTACGTGGGTTGGCAGCGATGAAGAGAATGACTTTGACAACGACGACAGAGATCGGTTGCCAGAAAGATGTGTGGCCACGGCACCTGCTCGAGCATCTTTGGCGCAGGGCAGAGAGGAGAGTGGAAAACAAGTGACGAAAATGTGCGGTTTGGAGGGATAAACATTTTTTCTCCCACCTTTACTTAACCGGGTTAAAAAAAAAACCCTTGAGGTTAAAATCTCTTTTTTAAGAAATGAGCTAAAAATCTTTTTTTTAAGAAGTGAGCTAAAAATCTATTTTTTAAGAAGTGAGCTAAACATCTCTTTCCTAAGAAGTGAGCTAAACATCTCTTTTTTAATAAGTGAGCTAAAAATGTATTTTTTAAGAAGTGAGCTAAACATCTTTTTTTTAAGAAGTGAGCTAAAAATATATTTTTAAGAAGTCAGCTAAAAATCTCTTTTTTAAGAAGTGAGCTAAAAATATCTTTTTAAAGAAGTGAGCTAAAAATATTTTTTTAAGAATTGAGCTAAAAAATCTATTTTTTAAGAAGTGAGCTAAAAATCTATTTTTTAAGAAGTGAGCTAAAAATCTATTTTTTAAGAAGTGAGCTAAAAATCTATTTTTTAAGAATTGAGCTAAAAAAAAACTATTTTTAAAGAAGTGAGCTAAACATCTCTTTTTTAAGAAGTGAGCTAAAAATCTATTTTTTAAGAAGTGAGCTAAAAAAAATCTATTTTTTAAGAAGTGAGCTAAACATCTCTTTTTTTAAGAAGTGAGCTAAAAATCTCTTTTTTAAGAAGTGAGCTAAAAATCTCTTTTTTAAGAAGTGAGCTAAAAATCTCTTTTTTAAGTGAGCAAAAATATATATTTTCTTAAAGAAGTGAGCTAAAAAAAAATCTATTTTTTAAGAAGTAAGCTAAACATCTATTTTTTAAGAAGTGAGCTAAAAATCATTTTTTTAAAGAAGTGAGCTCAAAGAAATCACCACACACACATAAGTGCCCGCGTGCATGTGCGTGATGGTGATGATGATGGTGGTGGTAGTGATGGTGAAATGCCCTCTCGTGGCCGAGTTGAGACACAGCAGGACACGTGATCACTTTGTGTGTGTGTTGACACGTGAGCACTCTGTGTTGTGTGTTAGATAGCAGGGGCTTTATTTTATTTTAAAACGAAGACGACGTTAAGAGGCTGGCGCTAGAACGAAACCGCTGAGACAAGGTTTTCTCGTGTGAGTTGAGTGTCGCTTATCGTTGTGTGCCCCCTTTGTGAATGTTGATTGTTACGTTTTTTTATTTAAAAAAAAAGTGTATTGTTGGGGCCCGGTTGAGGCTTTGAAGCCTGTGGTGGCTGCGAGGCTCGGATTGCCCTAGGCCGCACTCTCGGCTCGTCATAATTATGTAACGATAATAATAATACGGTGTAATGCCATCGTTATCTATCGTAAACATCGGGAGGCTGTCAGTTTTTTTCTTTAATTAAAGTTATCTTTGTTGGCACGGCTGAAGTATAATGTTTGGTGATTCGTGTTAACATTGGAAACGCGCGTAGCTAACATACTGTTGCGATTACCGTGCCTTAGAATGCAATAATAATCGTCGCGTAAGTATCATTATTGACGATTGTGTTGAGTTTTGTTGTGCCGTGAGTTATATATATTTTGTATTATTTCGGCAATTCCGCTGCCGGATGAATGTGGTTGTTCACGGGGTCTTGTTCCGTGACCATACTTCACCACGCTGGTCACCGCAATTAATTTTTCCTTTCAAGGTGATGTTAGCCGGGTTCAACCCCGCAGTAATAGTCATAGTATTACTCAATCATAGTTCACACCTTGTCCGGTGATCGTTTAAAGTGCACGCAAATCACATAAGGGGACACGCGTGTAATGATTGTGTTTATTTTTATTTGGTTGACAGCAGAGGGCATGGCGGCTAAATACATTGTGCTGTATTCTAGATTTGAAGCTTTCGTGACTGCAAGGATCCATACTCTTTGGTTCTATTCGGTAAAGTAAAATCACGTAGGTAAAAATAAAATAACAAAAAATCACGAACGTTTCGGCCACAACACAAGTAGCCTTCATCAGGTGAAGGGACCGGACTGTCCAGAGGATGAAGGCCACTTGCGTTGTGGCCGAAAGTCGTGATTTTTTGTCATTTTATTTTTACCTACGTGACTTTACCGAATAGAACCAAAGACATTGTGCTGTACTTCTATGCGCCCACGTCTCCGCTTCCCGCATTCAAACCGCACTGACTAGTGCGGTGAAGTATGGTCAAATAGACCCCCACGACACACGCGGCGTGGGGAAGGAAACTCGTACGGCAGTGGATTTGCAAAGAGCAGTGCCACGTACACTCACGTGCATCCGTGTGGACACATAGACAGAGCCAATGGAGGTGTCGCTGGAATATTAACTCAATGTCTTGTCAATTTTATAGTTAAATACAGTACTGTATCACCGATATTGCCGTGATTTCCAAGTAACAATCCAAATTAAGTTTTTTTTTACCAAACCAATTGCTTATGAAGCAAAAATTGTTGTACTCTGATTAGTTTTTTTCTTTTACATGGTTTGGGACACGTTTCCATGAATGCGTGGGTTGTTATCTGTTATTAACTTATTGGCGGCAGATTTGGGAGCCGTTCATCCAGCACTGGACTGACTGATCATGGCTGACGATGGTGATGGGTCACTAATTTGGAGAGCCGTGGTTAGCACGCTGCACTAGTAACTTGGCCACCTGAGTTCAATTCCTGATCGCTGCTAACATCCGTTGTGAGCCGGTACCGATCCCCCCCCCCCCCCCATTAACTCGAACTGATCAGCGTGGTGAAGTATGGTTAAACACCCCCCATGACTTGGCATGGGGAGGCATTCACCAATTATTCGATTGACGAATGGCTGCAAAATATATTCAGTGGACTCTTTATTATCCGCTTGTGGTCTATCCGATTTACGGATTAACTATGCACCTGAGATTTTTACATAAATTAATAACTCATGGATTTTCCCTTAAGCCCAATTTAATAATCTAACCTTTATTATTAATCTAAGAACAATTATACATTCTTTGTTATTCTTGGCAATGCTTATTATAAGCACGTGCTTAAACCGAACAAATATATGCTCCGGTTAATCTGAAATCCACGTGATCACCTCTATAATACAGTAGTTGCATATCTTTACAACAGTGGGCGGAGTTTGATTTTTATTGGCATGGCTCTGCTGTCCATTGAGTGGGCCGAGTCTTCTGGGCGGGATCAGGAAAGTGTTATCACTGAACACAATACATTCTTTATTACAAATGTTTGCTTTGTTCATTAGCAAACTAAATTTTCTTAACTCAAACGTAATTTATACAAATGTTAGTGGTTTTTGGCATGGAGCTCTGCGGAAAATGGTTATTTTTGGATTATCCGTGATTTTGAATAATCTGCGGCTGTCCTCGTCAGCTCAGATAATCGATTCTATGTATATAAAAAATGATTTACCATTGCTAAGGAATTAATATGTTATTTGGCAGGAGAGGAGGATGAGGAGGAAGCAATGGGGCAGGCGAACTGCATCTGCTCTCGAGGAATCTTCTCCATCGACGACAAACGCTACTTCTTCATTGAGCAGCTTGGCGAAGGGTAGGACATTGATGTTTTGAGTACCGGCCAAGCTTATATGAGCTGTAGACAACGTGGTATTCATACCCAGGAGCGCATGACATTTGTAAGTCGAGGGTATTAGATTGCAGATGGAATCCTTGAAGTTTGTTCCCCTCGCTTCGTCATGGATAAGTGGAGTTCTACTGTATCATAATTATATCAAACGGATATAACTATTGGCTACGAACTCAATACTGAGGCCAGCATGTCACCTTGTTAAAGTGAGAAAAACGCACACTCAAAAATACCATGATTATTGTCCAAAACATTGTGGGTGTCTCTTTGCCTAAAAATGCCGGGGGTGTCCAGACAACCACGACACCCACAGCGGCTGGGCCCCTGTTCCTACCACACTTTCATGATGGTACTCCCAGCAGCTGGGATCTAGCATAGTTTGGTTGGTATGTGCCCTGGTGCAAGGAATCAAATAGGGCCCCTGTCCATTTTCAGAGCCTGGTACTTGGGCCCCTCTGGTCTGCGGGCCTCTGTGCAGTTGCAGGGCCTACATATTCGATAGCTAAGCTACTGCCCTGTAGTAGATCTCACTTGCAAAAGATGATTTTTCGTGACAACGGGCTCTTACCTGGTTATACACTCATCTTTAAATTATTCGTCGCGGTTTAACCGAGTTACGGATTAACGATGCTCATTCAGCTTTTTGTGCACGTGCTGCTTAAATTATTTGCTGCGTCTCCTTCATAGCCGTACCCACTATTGCCACGCATTGTCCCATCTTCACCCCGATTCTATGTAGGAGAACCATACATGTGTTTTAACAACCTAATTTTAATGTTTTGCATTATCTGTGTCTTTATTAGGTTCATTCCTCTCCTCCATTACTGTAGTTAGGCAAGAGTTAACTGTCCTGTGTAGACGTTTCAACAAATTAGTCCATTGAGACAAAGTAACTTTTTTTTTTTAAACGAAGGCTTGGGTCACAAAGCAATGCAGTATATGATTTATATGTGAATAAAAAAAGTTAAAAATTAAACATTCAAGAATTAACACTTATGTGTTTTATTCAAATAAAACAGAACAACCAATAATAATGAACCAAGCTTTTGTAGTAACTTGCCAACAAGTGGTCCACGATGATCTTTTACAATCTAAAGCTTCATAATATAGATTTTCTTTTTGGGTTAGATCGCGTAAATATGAATGTGTTGTTAAACCCGCCACCACCCGACACAGCCAATTAGTAAGGTTTGTCACGTAAACAGAACATCCCAATTCATTACTAGTACAGCACACCGGTGTGTTGGAGAGCAAAGCAACAACATTTACAATCCAACACCCCGGTGTGTTGTACCGGTAACGAATTGGCACGTTTTGTTTACGTGACAAACCTTACTAATTGGCTGTTGCTGGTGGGTTTAACGACGCATTTATATTTACACGATCTAACCCAAAAACCTATATTATGGATGATATCGGTCGCGAAAGCCTACGTGTTAATATAAAGATTGCTTGGCAAGCCACTAAATTGTAAGTGTTGTTTTTTTCTTAACACTTCTTAATAAAAACATTTGTATTGAAACAGAAACAACGCACCATAATGGCAAAAACCTGAAGTTTAAACGAAAGTGTATGCCTTAGGAGATAATTAAAGCCGACGCTTGTAATTTTAAATAACCTTGAAAGGTGTATTTTCTCACTTCAACCGTGTGCTCGCAAGCCGCTATGTGCTTTTGCGAAATCTGTTCAATTTACTGGAGCTCAGCAGTTGGTTCTCAATCACGAGCGGGACAATCTAGAATCAGTTCAACCGTAAATTTTGTCTAATCTAATTCTCTTCACCGTTGGAGGTAATCACGGTTTTCCCAGTCGCTTTGAAATTCAAGTGCACGGGTAGTGAGCGTGTGTGTTTCTTAATTTTCACAATCGCTTCAAAATGGGTCTGAAACTTTATTTTTTAAAAGAAAAAGTAAATGGTTACTGTTTACTTTTAACTTGGCCCCATCAGAGAAGTTTTGATGAGAAGTGTAAGCGTGGACACGCAGCGATTATGGAACTTCAATTATTTTCTTGTAAGGGCTTTTTATTGATCCAACCACGGGGGAGTGGGGGGTGATCACCTTCCGTGACAGGCGAATGGTAGTGGAACTTTAACTTCTAAAAAAATGTTTGCCATGCATTTAACCAGTTGGGCAATGATGTGAGTGCTCAGGGCCAAAGTTGACTATGTTTAATTTGTTTTTGCACAGCCAGGGATTGTGGTGTCAAGTGCATATTGCGGCATTAGACTGTTAGGGTTTGGTGGGCGGGCGGGCGTGTAGAGATGCTTACAAGACTGCCTTTCATTCAGTGCAAGTGGTCTGCGAGTGTGAATATTAGGGGTGTAACAGTGCATCAATTAATCGATTATTAATTTTATTATTCTGTTCATGAACCCGCACTGACCAGCGCAGTGAAATATGATCAAAAACCCTACATGACTGACATGGCGTTGGGGAGGTCTTAATCAGTTGGTAGATTAGTGGATTGAGAATGGCTGGAATTTAATTATGTGTTTTGTTTCATGGGTAAACCTTGATATCCTGCAGCCACTAGAAGCGCTGCATTCGCAACAATGCCAAAATAATAGTTTATTGAGTCAAATCGCAGCACTGAATTGAGACAATTAATTACATTGCGAGAGAGGTGAATCTTTGTACCGCCCGAAATATGCTGATCCTTATGAATGAAAGAGTATTTGATTCAGAGCTGATGACCCTGATCAGTCAAGCAGGGGCGATCAACCTTTACCTGAGATCTTAATAGGGTGTTTAACTACCTCGAGCAGTCCACACGTTAACACAATGTAGCCCAACTTGTATGACCATGCCCCAATGTTATCCAAGAATCACGCAAAAAATAACATGTGTGTCGACTACAGTGTTCAAAGGCCCTTGCAGTGACAGAAATGACTGAGCGTGTGAACAAATTAAAAATAATTTACATCCTTTTGTCAATTCACCGATGAATGCAGACCTTTCCGATGCAGTGTCAGTCGTTTTACCATACTTCACCACACTGGATAGTTGGTGAAAAGGTCGGCAGGGTGGGCCACTGATGACCATCAATGCGAGGCGTTGCTCTCCACCGCTGACTCAAACAAAATAAGTGGGTATATTCTACAGACGGGGCCCATCAGAGGGCAGAGCCGTGCTTTGAAACGCGCTTCTGCTCTCCCCGTGGTGACGCCGCCACCTTTCCCAAACAGCGGCTTCAGCTACGTGGACCTGGTGGAGGGGGCCCACAACGGCCGCTTCTACGCACTGAAGCGCATCGTGTGCCACGATAAGGATGACCACAAGGGGGCGCTCAGGGAGGTGGAGATGCACCGCGCCTTCCGCCACCCCAACGTCCTCCCGCTGGAGGGCAGCCGCGTGGTGGAGCGGGGCCCCAAGTGCGAGGTCTGGCTGCTGCTGCCCTATTACCAGGTGCGTGGTGGGGGGTTGCCGTGAGGCTGGGGGGGTTTGTGAGGAGGTGAGGGGGTAGGGTCTTTCACAGAAGAGCTGAAAGGAGTTCAAATGAGCTCGCAAACTAACACCTTTGTTAAAGACCCAAACCCATACCTGTCAACCTACACGGTTTACCCGTATTCTTGTATAGGGAATTTGAGTTTTCGGGTCCATACGGCGTATAGCCATTTCAATACGGGCACAAAAAGTTGTTTTGTGTAATATTATTGTGTTTCTTCCTTGTGATGGGACTTTGTAGATTGAACGTTGAGATATATAAGGGCACGGGGATGAACAATAAGGTCTGAATTGGTCTGTAATAAGGTAGGGCACTGATAAGGGGTTGACAGGTATGCCAACCGCAGAAGATCCCTGGGTTTGTTCTCAACACGAAGCTCATGGTCCACCCTAAATTTCATCTGCACAAACCGTGGCAGATGCGGGTACCTGATGCACAAATGGGAAAGGAAAAACTCTACGGTAGCGTACGACTGTGGTCATCCAGAACAGAACGTACGACGTATAGCGACGCAACGTCTGATCCACAATTACGAAGGAGACATCACATCTATACACTCTGCTGCTTCTGACGTGGTTATCTGCCTTGACCACCTGAATGTGAAATTGTAGTTGTTGCTCAGCATCTACATCAGCCGTACAAAAGATTAAGATTAGCAGGTGACTGCATTGTCATAGGGTGTGTTACATTTTTTTTACTGGCACTAAAAAAACCTGCATTCATCCATGTATATATCAAGCACACACACATAAAAAACTAATTTTAGTCCCATCAGCCTGTTGGCTTTCCAAAACAATACTATCAAGCAGTATTTGATTAAGCAAATATATTCACAATCGGTTTCAACCTTCTGGGTTTCATCAGCAGTAGAGTCGGGCTTGTTAAGTATATTCTGCTGGATTTACCGTGTCTTATTGGTTAGAGTGCTCCATTGAAATGATGCAACCCAGCACAATTTACATCGCAATACACTGCACAATGGGTTTGGTTCTAGGTTCATTTTAACGAAGGTTATTGCTGTACATTCCAACTAGAATAATGTTTCGATGGTTTCGATTTGGGAGAAAATGCGAGGAGGAAGGAAGTGGAGAGGGTTGAGAAGGGATAGGAATCAGAGCGGCGTTGGTTTGATTGAGTCGGTATCGAGAGGGAGTCGCTCTGCAAGCATGAACCCAAGGCTGTTTGAATGTAACTAGAATGAGTGATCAAACTGGGCTGTGGTCGTACGGCTGGGCTACATTGTCAGGAAGATCTATTGTTGTACTGCACTATGTTCCCAAATGTATGCTTTCCGCCTTCACCAACCTTCATTGATCGGCGTGGTGAGGTATGGTCAAATAACTCCGATGTTGCACATGCCACAGGTAGGCCCTCGTCCAGTCGTGGATTGGCAAGGGCTGTGCATATGCACATACACGTGCCGTTGAATATCATGAATTGTCATTTAAGGTATCTAGGAAAGTGTACATATATGGGCCTTAAAAATGTCTAATAATTCTCATCAAGTAATGGTGCATCCCAGGAGTGAATCAGGTGAAAGTCGGACAAAACCTTGTTAATTGTTCTCAAGTATCAAAAGTGTCTGGTTTTTACTGAATGTAAAATCAGTCCCGCCAGAGGTGGGGGAGATAATTCAAGAAAGTTCTGGCAGTAGAAAAGTTAATCGGGGTGGTGTTACTGTATTCTGTGGCTTATGAGGTTAACTTTTTTTTTCCAATTGCGTTAAAAGCTGAAGTTGGGGGTGTATAATATAACCTGGTTTGTCTAAATCTTGCCTCCTGGACATGCGCGTTTCAATCGACGCTCAGCGTCCAATCTATATATATGTCACTTTATCCGCCGGCTGGAGTTGAGAAAGTAAGGAGAGAGAAAATGTTTTACCGGAACTGTACACTAACTGATTGTAAAAAAGAAAATACGTGTAGAGACAGAGAATTAAGTTTGTTTTACTGCTGCGGTAACATTGTTTATACGAGCGGTGTTGTGTACCAATTGTAAGATGTGCACCAGCAATAACGTTAACACTGAATTTTGTACGTACTAATATTCATGTTTAATTTATATATCATCGTTGGTTCAAATTACATCTCACACTCGCTGTGGAAGCAAAGACAAAGCTGGATATGCAGTCTGGCAGTGATCCAGCTTTGTGGCATAGCCTCTCAGCACTTTGGCACAGGGTAGATGGAAGTGGAAACAACATTTTGCAGTGGACATCTACAGACTTTCTGCCCGTGGAGTTTGATGATGATGACAAGTGTACTATTGTGGTGAAGCTGAGATGGACCGTGATGTGTTTGTGTTTACCTCCCAGAGAGGCACACTGTGGGACGAGCTGGAAAAACTCCGCAACAAGCACAGCTTCATGACGGAGGAGAGGATCGTCGGCATCTTCCGTGGCATCTGCAGCGGCCTCAAGGACATTCATGACAAGGGCTTTGCGCACAGGTCTGTATGCCCATCGGCAGCGTTATCATCATCATCAGCAGAAATTATCAACCCAGCAATAGAATTGATCATTGGCTGATGATGTAGTCGAACAAAAACACCATTTAGAGGGGCTTTCTAAAGCTCCCTCTAGTGGGGAGGCCTTACAGCCAGCAGTAGCATGAGCAGGTCATTGCAGGGCTGCGCCTTTGACTTCACCGTGCCACCCACATCAAATTGGATGAAAAAAAACGAGTTTTGTCGTTAACACTGTGAACTCTGAAACAACGGAGGCATTGAAGCAATCCAGTGCGCATCAACTGAAGTCACTTCCTGGCTAACCAAACTGGACACAATACTTAAATGTTGCCATTCATTTCAGCCATACCCAGTCATGCAACCTTTAGAACTGCTTTTTGTGTTTAGTGTTTCTGTCCTTCCCCCACACCTCTGATTAGCAGCACAGGTGGCTACGTACGGTGTGAAAGAAGTTCAACGTACATACACAGCCAAATTACTAAATTGGGACAATCCAGAGCAATCATCGCCCCCCCCCTTACCGGCAGACTACTGACCCAGGTCACTTGCAAAATTAGACTATCCTGGTCACTTGAATTCTCGCCTGGTCAAAACAAATTAAGCGTGAACCTCGATGCGCAAGAGGCTGTGGATCGGTTACGGCAACGCGCACGTCTCTGTGATCCTGCAGAGACCTGAAACCCACGAACGTCCTTCTTTCCGACGAGGACGTCCCCGTCCTCATGGACCTCGGCTCCATGGAGAAGGCTCGCATCGAGATTAAAAACTCGAGGGAGGCTATGGCACTGCAGGTGACGCAAACGCACCTCGTCATCCTTCGTCGTGCATTTTGAACCCGGGGGAAGGGCTCTCGACGCACACGGTACATGTAACAACCCACGTGCCGTGGCTTCTTCCACAGTGCGGTCTTACTGCGACATGTTGGACAGTGTAAGGTCACTGGTAGGCACGCCAGCCAGTTTTGCTCGATATGAATTTGTTGTTCTTTGGTTCTTTTGGTAAAGTCACGTAGGTATAAAATAAAATAAATTGAATCACCGAAAGAACCAAAGAGTGTGGATCCCTGCAGTGACGAAAACTTAAAATCTAGAATGAATTTGTTGCTTTTTCTTTAAACGTGTGTTTTATTGGGGAATATGTGCGCGATAATAAAATAATGAAAGTTTACATATGAATGGTTGCCTTGCCCACGGTCTTGCTTGTTTTCTAGCAGCACAACTCTAAGTCAGCCTTAACAATGGAAGTGGCTCATGTCATTATTTATGATGTGTGTAACTGATCACGTTGTGTGTTACACGCATTTTAGATAATAAAGTTGCAGTTTTGAGAAGACTTAAGCCAGGATTATCTTGAGTAAACAAATTACAAGTAATATTTATTCATGATATAGATCATAATATCGCAATCAGAATGTGTGTTTATACTGGAGGAATCCGATGAGCTATAAAGCTCGTTTTCACAGATGTCCAGTCGAATTTACAGTAGAGCACAAAAACGACAATAAAATAGCGAAATACATTTACACACTTATCGGAAACTGATATTGTGATAATTGTCATATTGTGAAAATGCATGCCGTATCGTGTTTGTTTCGGCAGAAATGCCGCGGAGACTTTAGTTGACGTGTGGAGCACGCGATATCTTGTGTCCAGAGATGTCCCGTATCTAGATTACATGTAATTTAAGTCTATATAATGTCATTACATTTGTAATTTTTTATTGGTAGCTAAATTACACAGCTCAAAGTAATGAGTAATTGGCATCTAAATTACACCAGACACATTTAATTGGCAATTTATATCTATATTACATTACGTCACTGCAGTCATTTGTACTTTGAATGTGTTTTTCCCCGCCTCTGCCTCCTTCAACTTGTGTCTTGCATCTCTCGCCGTGTGGGCGCACGCGCGTGTGTGTGTGTATGTGTATGCGCGCCGTGTGCAGGATCGGGCTGCAGAGCGCTGCACCATATCGTACCGTGCCCCAGAGCTGTTCACCGTTCCGAGCCACTGCATCATCGACGCACGGACAGACATCTGGGTCCGTATCGCACACTCGCAGACAATGAGGCCTCCCCCCGCACCTCCGATTAGCGCGCTTGGCTACGTACGTTGCGGAAGACATTCAACATGCATACATGACCTCGCACGTTGAGGACTCGGAATAGTAGACCGACCGTTTCGTTTCACCCACACTATGTTCAAGCACCACCACCACCACCACCACAATATTTCATAAAAAGGTCGTCCAGGGGCTTTGTGTAGGGCCACGTGATTGGCAGCAGTGGACAGTCCAGAAATAAATCCGTTGTTGTACTCTACGTCTCTGCTCTCACATCTATGCTCCCCGCCTTCAACAACCCCTGCTCACCAGCGTGGCGGCCACGTAAGCTGCATGAGCCGTGCGGGTCACGAGGAAGACCTCGTCTAGGCATTGGGATTCACAAAAAGGCTGTAACGCGCACGTACGCGTCAATCGTCTGGCTTTTTCGAGCGCGCCTGTCTCGCGTTTGTTTCACCACCGCAGTCCCTGGGCTGCGTGCTCTTCGCCATGATGTTCCTGGAGGGCCCGTTTGACGGCGTGTTCCAGCGCGGCGACAGTGTCGCTCTCGCGGTGCAGAGCAGCGTCAACGTCCCGTCCAGCAGCAGGTGACGACGTCAACAACGGGCATGACATCGTAGCCATAACAATAATAATAATAATTGCAGTAATACTGCGTGTAGTTTTTGTTCTTTTTTTTTTGGGTTGCGTCGTACAGCTCTCCAATGTTTTTGGTCGCGTTGTGCGTGCGTGTTGTTCGACGCGACGTCCGACGTTTCGCTGTGGGTGCTGGCGGCTCCGTCAGGAGCGAAACGTGGGACATCGTGCCGAATAACAATGACGACGCGATGCAAACCGGAAAGGCACCGGAGAACTGCCGTGCTTTATTAGCTCACTGCCAGTGTAAGCGTTAGAAATTTCCAGACACCTCAGTGGTTTCATGTCGTCATGACTTCCTAAGGTTAATCAATTTTGTTCTTCCCCGTGTAGCTGGAATGCACGTCACAATTCACTCCCCACGCAAAAAAAAGGCGATTTATAGACGGCGAAAGGTGCGATTGTGACGAGAGGGTAATTCCAGCCATCATGCCGTGTGTGTCGCATCAAATCACCATTGCTCCCGTGTATAAGGGTGAGGGCTTCGTGTGTTAGACCACCAAGATTCAAAATTGACCGGAGTATGTTAGGCAGCTGTAGGGCAATTAGATGATTAGGCCGTGCCAGATTGTCCTCACAGTGATGAGGGGAGGGAGGGCTTGTCCAAACAAAGCCCCTCTTGGGCACAAGGCAGCGGTAAGGAAATGATGGCTGTGGTATCCAGCAAGAGGTAGAACCGGCGAGCTAGTTGACTCATTGTGGTTGCGATTTTTCGGCGAAAATTGGCAGCAGTGCCTCCTTGCACTGCGTTAATGCCCACATCGTGCGGTGTGCTGCGATGTAGGTTGTGTTTTACAGCGTATTCCCGATTATAACCGGAGAGAATCTGTCGTGTGCAACCTTTTTCGTTTTAAACCATATTCATAGCATCCTCAATGCATTTATTCATCCTTATCATCTGCATGAGTAGAATAAGGTGGTTATTTTCGCAAGGAAGGAAGGATATATGTTTATAACCATCCCATCGAAGTTTCCAAACGACTTTAATCAAACAAACGGGGTGCCTATTTGAAGAGGGCGAGCAAAATGGAAACATGGCGATTGTGACAGTCACACGACATGTCATGTTATTTCTGTAAAACGTACAGGCCCTTTGATTTTAAATCACGCCCTCTGCTCTCACGGTGGATGTCCAAGGTCCTGTGACGTCGTTCGCAAGAGTATGCCATTATGTGCCGGCGTCAATGGGTCCAACACTGACAAATGAGACAAATTGCCCCGCAGAGTTACACCAAGTTGGGATTTTACAGAGACCCCACAAAGCTTGGGGCCATCGTTGACGCTGGATTTGGGTTGCTTTCCAGTTTGTCTGTGGCTTCCTGCCCTGACGAGCTAGGTGGAGTTAATGGTGGTGGAGGGGGGGGGGCCCTTTCGTGAGTAAACCGTTCTGATGCTCTGAACGCGAGATTTTGATAAAAAAATTACTCGGCTGCGAATCTTCAGCGCCAAGACACCAGCCCCACCAGTCAAATGGAATGTGAACATTTCACACCCTCCGAATAGCATAGCACCAGCCGAGTATGTGGGTATAGTGAGCAACGCGAACTATGATCTTCTACTCATGCGCAAATGCCAGTTCGATAGAGCCTGAGTTGATGGGCATGCTGCGAAGACAGCTATATATATGCTACCGAGGGTATGGATGGTACCGTGGGTATAGACGCTACCACTGATATAGATGGTGCTGCTGGCATGAAATATTACCGCTCGTGTTGATGCTGTTGCTGGCATCGCTGCTACTGCAGACCTACATGCAGGCGGCTTGACCATTCGGCAGCACGCTATTGGTCTCCGTGATTGGTCCCCGTGATTGGTCCCCATGATTGGTCCCCATGATTGGTCCAGCGAGCCGACTCCCCAAGTGGATCACATCAGGGTAATGTCGAGTGTAACTTTAAGTACATTTCGTGTAATCGTCTGCGAGAATGGCTTTTTTTTGTTACCACGTTAGCAGATGCAGCACAGTCGTGCACTTAAGAAAATAAATATTGCTCTTGCAAAAATGGTTATTTTATGGCACATTTGGAGCGGTGCAAACACGCTAGCCAGTTGCTGAGCGGGCACAAATTAGGCTTCATTCGCACTCTTTGAATGCCTCATTTCACACGTGTTTCAAAGGGCACTTTGTTTAAAATTGCACATTCTCCAGAGTTTTACTACACACGATTGCAAAAGTGGTGCTTTTTAGTGTATCCGAATAAAAGATAAGGCATTGACGTCCCTCTTACTGTGTGATTAGAGAGGTAAAGGTGTTAGCGAGGGCATGTCGCTTGAACGTGATGGCAAGTCGGACGATAAAGTCCTATTTGCAAGCATTGGGCACAATTTAAGTAAAACAAATATGAATTTTAATCGGTAGCATAGAGAGCTAATGGACAGGTCTTTTAAAAACATAATGCAAAACCCATGGCCAGTGTGAAGGGTTAACAGCAAAGTATTCACATCCCAGCAGTTCGGTGAATTGTCCCAATTCAGGGTGGCGATTATTTTTCATTACTTTTTTTTTAATCATCTTCTTTGTTTCGTTTCCAGATTGTTCCCTTTTGTTTTTACAGTTTTCCCTCGCTCCATTCACCGGAAAAAATAACTTGCATTCATCTATATGTCTAAATCAGCCGGAGCCTCCAGTAAATCACGTGACTTCTGAGTGGCCACCCCGACTATGAATCCTTCCCCCTGTCCGCGCCGCCCGCTTTGAAAACAGCAGCCGCGTCAAAACCCTGATGTAGACACTTCCTCCTCCCCATCATCATCTCTCCTGAACCCAGTGCTCCCGTTTCTCTGTTCCTTTTTCATCCTCTTATTTGTTTCTTAGTCAAATTTTTTTGTTATCTTCACTTCCTGTTCCTTTTTGAGTTTCCATTCCTCCTCTCCTTGACTCCACTCCCCTTCCCGTGGTGTGCGGCCATGGGTACAAAGCTGCCAGTTTTTTCGTAATTTATCAAAAGGAGATCCAACACGGATGATTCTGTGTTAACAAAAAAATAAATCAAGAGCGCAAGAAACATTTTTATGGTGCCTCGCTATATATATATTTTTTTAATGCTTCGATGTATTCCACGGGGAAGGGGGTGGGTTTGCGCGGCGGGGGTGGGGGGAGGGGGTTAACCGATGGTCGTTTAACTCCGCAGGTATTCACAACCTCTGCGCAAACTGCTAACCTCGCTTATGGACGTGGACCCCTCGGAGAGGCCCACGGCCGACGGCGCCCTGGAGCAAGCAAACGAGCTGCGCGGCACCTTCTCTTCCACGCACAACACGGCCGTCTGAGTTTCAAAGCGGCCGCCGCTCCCAAAGTGGATGTCCGGGGAGAGTTTCAGGAGGCCGAGCTTGTGTTGACAAAGAGCGCCAGCCAGCCGTCTTGTCTTCCCCCGGCTTCAGAGCACCGCAACGAGGCGTTGTTGTCATCGTCGTCGTCGTCATCATCGTTGTTGTTACTCAGCCTCCTCGCTCAGAAAATCTTAACTTGCTCAATGCATTCCACACGACGACGAACCTCGCTTCGCTACACGGCGACAGTGACGTCGCCACAGCGCTTGTGTCAGGCTTGGTGCGTTTTGAGGCCGCGCGAAGTGGCGAAGGTTGGCTGGAGCGCTCTTATATGCTATGCTGGTTATATAGCATTCCACGCACAAACAACAACTTTCCGTCATTTGCCAGTGATTGGTGTGAAGGCTCGGTGCATGTGCACAACCCGTGAAGTTACAAAGGTTATACACACAAATGCACGTGCATTTGTACAAAGTCAAAAGCAGAGATGTCACCGACGGCTAAAAATTTACTTTTGGAGCAAGTGCTATTATTGAACAGCTGCTCAGGCTGGGACATCACCCCGAGCAGATGGGTGGTTTGGTCAGTACGACCAGTGTGTCTGCAATGCTAAATGTAGACACACTGCACCAGGTATGCATTTTACACTGAGTTAACCCAGGTGGGGGGACCACGTCCAGTTTTCCAAACCGGTTCTCTCACTGGGGTGTGTGTGTGTGTGTGCGCGCACGCGCGAGGCCAGGAGTCAAGCCAGTGCCCGCTTGGGATTGTTAGTGCCGTGTGATCACGGCTTTGTCACCGTTCCCTCTGAAACGCACACATGCTCGCGTGCGTGTGTATCGAAGCTGCTGTACAGCGGGATCGGTAAGGGGAGGAGCATTCGTGTTCAGTCGGGCGCAACGCCTGGACCTTGCCTGCTACTGCCCTGCCCAGATGAAAGTATAAAGGCGGGCGAATTAGGAGTGCTTTTTTTTTGTTCTTTTGACTCTTGCCTGTATTATCATTATTATATATCAGACATGGTCGTTACTCTACTGGTGGATGAAGGCTTCCCAAAGCTACGATGGGGCCGATTAATTTTTTTGGGGTGGGGAGTTCAATTATTTGTGGGTAACGGACAACAGGACGAAAACTTGAAAATGCACATTCTCTGAATATCGCGACAGTGCCGTCATGCAATGTCACACATTTTAACTAAACTTCCGAGCTTCATTTATAACATCTGTAGTTTAAACAGGTTCTTACACATGCCTTTCTGCACAATGGTAAATATGTTTTGGGAGTTTACCCCCCAGCAATGCCGAATGCATTAGCAGCATAACCTCTCTGGGATTGTCAAGGGAGCAAACCAAAGGAGGGTTTAAAAGGGGGGGGTGGAGGGGGGAGGGGGGAGGTGTCTTTTGAGTGACTGATCCTAGCGAAACTCGGCACATCTTGAGTTTAACGCAACCAGCTGGCCGCATTCACTTGCTCCGTTTGATTGCCATCCTATGGGGCATGTGTCCCCGGCATCTTAACGTGCAACGTTCAATACAGGGACTCCTCAACTTACCAACATTCGACTTACGACCTTTAAGAGATTCAAACAAACCTAGTTGCCTGTTCGGACCGAGAGCCGTAAGTTCAACCGCCGCGCAATAGATTCCGGTGGTGGCATCTACATCTGCAGAAGATGAAGAACCAGTGGCATCTACAGCAGAGAATATACAACGTTTAAAGCCGTTGCCCCTGTTTAGTGTACATGCCGTACAACATGTTTGGAATCGACTTACGAACAGACGTTTGGAACCTAACTTGTCCGTAAGTAGAGGAGTCCCCGTACCAAGGTTTTTGAAGAGTCTAGTCCTTTCGGATATGTGCGTACTCTTTTTACGCGTATTTATGCAAAATAATATCGCATTCTTGTCCACGTGTCAGAAGGTGAAGTTATGAATTGTTCGAGTGATATTGATATCATTGCCGTGTTATGGACATTGGACACTGCACCTTAAGTGGCATCCAAGATGGTAACGTGCAGCGTCTGATACCAGGTATTACAAATGTCTGGTCTTTACACATATGGTTAGGGTTGAAGAAAAACAGCATTAATTTCCACACGTATACTGGTAACGTTATGCAGTGTCCAGTGGTGTTAATATTATTGAGTGCAATGACTCCTTGTATAGTGATTCCCAGTGTTTACAAGATCAATAGAGCGAATTTTTTTTGCGTACGTCAACTGTGTTTGTGCAAGGCCACACTGACCTGCTTAGTATAGCTGGTAAGTCGACTATTCTGTAAGGGGCCATCCATTTAGTAGGTACGCAAGAATCTGTCAACTTGACGCCCCGTACTTTTTACACTCCCCCCCACCTGCGTAGTAAGTTCGCTTGACGCACCCCCCCTCCGAATCCTATAGAACGGCCGATATTTAATCCACGCAGAAACGATCAAGGATCGTGTTTCAGCAAACAGATAGTCCACCGCCGGCTGCATTAAAGAATTAAGTTGCGTACCTTGGCCACTTATTTTGCTGAGCTGCGCGATAGTGAGCAGTCAGGGGCACGGTGGCACACGAGTGACACCTCTCCCACAGTCCCACTTCTCCCGGTAGTACTTTGTCTGACAGCTGAAGAAACTGAACTGTGGCTCATTTGAAGGCCAATGGAGACAAATTATTATCGAGGCTTCACCCCCCCCCCCCCCCGTTTCCTATGCGTACGTACATTAGTAGACCCCCCCATATGCAAGAGTATGCATTTGGGTTAACCCCCCCTCCATGCGTACGTACTAAATGGATGGCCCCCAAGTAGACGATTCTGCGTTGGTGTAGGTGTACTGCTGCTGTTAATGGTTTATTGCTGTGTGCCTTTTTGGGGTTTGTTTTGTTAATGTATGTCATTTTTTCCCACCCCGCATGATGCATTCCACTGCAACTTTAATTTGTGGCGGGGAGGGGAGGGGGTAAGGGGGGTTCAGTCTGAAATGGCAACTGCAAGTCGGAACGATTTTCAGATGCACCGTACAAGAGGTTATTCTAAATAAACTTCACTGTTTTCACCCAAAAAATCAAAAGTCTAGAGCAGTGGTTCTTAAACTTGACGGCAGCCTTGCACTCCTTTGCTTCTCAATCGTAAACAAAAAAACATTCAAAATTTTGATGAAACAAAGTGGTTGTACTTGCCTGTATTTTGTGTTTCGATTATTTATATTTCCAAAGAAAATCTTGCCGTGTCTCGCACCCCCAGAAAGGGCACCCCACAATTAGGCACCATTGGGCCGGAGTAACCAGAGAGGGAACAACTTCGTCAAGCGAGGAGTTGTGCTGCTGCGCGGCTCTCCCGACGGTGGCTTCTGGCCGCAACGTGGCCGCGGTCGGCACGGGTGGCCCCCACGTGGCCGCGTTCGGCACGGGTGGCCCCCACGTGGCCGCGTTCGGCACGGGTGGCCCCCACGTGGCCGCGTTCGGCACGGGTGGCCCCCACGTGGCCGCGTTCGGCACGGGTGGCCCCCACGTGGCCGCGTTCGGCACGGGTGGCCCCCACGTGGCCGCGTTCGGCACGGGTGGCCCCCACGCGGCCGCGTTCGGCACGGGTGGCCCCCACGTGGCCGCGTTCGGCACGGGTGGCCCCCACGCGGCCGCGTTCTCGCCGTGCGACCTCCTGAAGAAGCGCGCGGAGTGAAACGCCGGGACGTCCTGCCAAAACGGCGTGCGGCGAAGTCTGCCGGAAAACATTTCGGAGAGCTACACGCAAAACCGTTGTGTAGATTTCAACTTGTTTTTTTTTGGGGGGGGGGGGGTCGCCCCCACTATCGATGCTCGTGGTTTTTTTTGCCACCTGTGCCCGATGGCAGCTAAAACTGGCGCCACTGAAAAACTCGCAGTGGGGTGGGGGGCTTTGCGCGAAGCGGCAAAGCCAGCGGACGGGTAACTCCGCTCGTCGGGAACTCCTCTTCATCCGCGTGTGGTTGCGGGCGTGCGGGGGGGGGAGAGAATGAAAAAGGAGTGAAACGGGAGAGTCCCTTTATTCAAATTAGAGAGCGAGAGAGCGAGAGCGAGAGAGAGATATTGTAAGGGGCAAGGTGAAGACTGCACGGCGGGACTCGCGTCTTTTCGTTGTTGCCGCTGCAGTCGCCGCGTGTGCCGAACGGGGGCGGGGGGTGGCCACGTGGTCTCGCATTATTTGTGCCGCGGTGGGGAAAGCGTCAATAAACAAACATCTCTCTCCGTTCCATAGATGGAGAAGAGTTCGCACGGTAGAACGACGTGGAGTTGTTTGGCGGGGGGGGGTGGGGGAGAGACCCCCAGCAGTTTGACCCCCGCGGTTTGACCCCCACGTACAACAACGGAGCTTTTGCTCTCAGAATGCGGGGGGGGGGGGGGGGGGGGGGGGCTCGTTCACGGTTAGAGTTTTGCCCCTTTTATAATTTGTATTATTATATCCGCTTTAAAATCCCGTTATTCCCGTGAAGACGACATTTAGCCCATTTTGCAGCCTGTAAAGCCGAATTATATCGATATATATTTACAGATGAAAATAAGCAGTGAGAAAGGAAGGTAACGTGAACAACAAAAAAAAACGCCCCCACGTCACCGAAACCGCCAACAAAAATGTGTGAAACGCGCAATCGCGCAAGTGCCACCTGGGACTGCCTGCCACGCGTGCCGATCCTGCGTAGTGCCGAGACGCGGCTAACGACATGGCGGTATTGCCTCGCACGCTGTGTTCAATTGTCAAGTCGCAGGAGTGGGATTTTTTTTCCGTAAACAATATTTTTCGATAGATGCCACCCGCACCCTCCCCCTCCCACCAAGCCTCGTCATTTGCAGGACACGGTATATCCACCCCCGCTTTATTTCGAGGGCACCCGTGGAGATTTCCGCGAGAATTCGGTGCCATTACTTTTGAATGATCTCTTGCATATACCCGGATTGACCGTTGGGGGAACACAACGATCGCAAATCTGATTGTGCTCATCGTTGGCAATGGCAGTGCACAAAGGTTTGCTTTGTTTGAGCTCATCCATCAGTTTGCGTTGCTAGTTCGATTTTGGGCGTTGGGTGTTTTTCATTTTTTCCTCTGCACGTTTTTGCGATGGCGAATGGAATTCTTCAGCGGAGAGGTCGAGAGAGAGAGATCTCCACCGCCATCGAATGCACATGGGTTACGTTGCACTGGACGAAACTGGTTATTGAATCTACAATAAAAAAAATATTCGAATTCATTCTTAAGTTGCTTAAATTTCCACAGCTGATATGAAAGAAAATATTAAACGGTACACAGAGCAGAGTCTCCCAAGAGCTCAACTGTCTCAAACTCTGATTTAAAGCTTTCGTGACTGCAGTAATTCATATTCTTAGTTTTTTCGGTAAAGTCACGTTGAAGAGAAACAACAAAATAACAAAATATATATAAAACAATAAAAAATTCTAACGACGTGAGAATTTTTTATTGTTTTATATATATTTTGTTGTTTCTCTTCAACGTGACTTTACCGAAAAAAACTAAGAATATGTCTCAAACTCCTTTGTTTGGCTGCCTGCGATCAAGCTCGCTGAAGCAGAGGTCGGCACGTATTGAGAGCAGGGGTAATGGCACTTTTTTTGTTTTGCCTCTTCATGAGTACCAAACAGGACTTTCAAATTGGTCAATTTGGCTGGCCACGCACGAACGCGCACCTTGGCGTTGCTCACGCCGACGCGCTCTCGGATGTCGGCTCGCGATCTCCGAGGTCGACAACATTTTCCGCGAGGGTGCTCGGAGCGATGCGATACCAAAAAAAAAATATCCCCCTTCGAGGTGGCGGGCATCGTGTGGCTGCGGGGTCGTAAAGAAATTAAGTCGCGTGCGCGACGATCTCTCCACAACGCCTGGCGCTCGCTGATTTGCGAATATAATGTGGCGGTGCAGCGAGAAGCGATGACATCTAATTTGGTTATTCGACTGCAATAACCATTACATCCTTAATTCTCACAACTCTCGCCCCCCCCCCCCCCCCCCAACTGATAATGGTGTGTTGCACAGTAATGCCATTTTTTCACTTTACATCAACACTTTAATGAGGTGGGATCATAACGCAAAGCTTGACTCGGCCGTAAATGGAACTTGGGCATTGGGTTTTAATCTCGGTCGCTCGGCTTTCACACAGCCCAGAAATCCCCACCCCCACCCCATTCACATGCAATTATGGTCAATTGCTTGTGTATGTCGGTGTGGAATGGAATAGACCCGAAAAATCGGCCTGGAAGAGTACAACAGGATTATTAGATAGACATCTCGCCACCGTGGCGCGAGATGTTAACTGCCTCGCTGGGTATACAGGAGGTCGTGGGTTCGATACCGACCCTGACGCCTGCTGCTGCTGCTGTATATTTGGAGTTTGCGTGTCTCTCTCACCCGTTGTCGTGTGGGATGTTCTCCGAGACCTCCGGTTTTTCACCTCCACATTTACAAACGTCACGCGTTTAGAGTATTTTGGCTGTTGTACATTTCCACGTGGTGATGATAGGCCACTTCGTTAAGCTATCATTTGTGATGGCGAGGTCGCTTCTGAAAAAGAGCTACTCAGCTCAGTGGGGCCTTACCTGGCAAAATAAAAAATAGTTTAGTTTAGCTTGAAATAGTCATTCAAAGTCTGCCTCTGTTGCATAAACATTTTATGCGTTTGATTAACCACCCACACCCAGGGCATTATATATGCACGGTGTAATGTCATTTTCGAACAGATGTTCATACATCCGGCCTTTTCACACCCGGTAATGCGCTCTTAATCTCGCGTACGCTGCCTGTCTAAAGCACAGGGAAACGTTATGGACCCTCCCCCCATGTTTAAAGCGGTTTGCGTGGCACTTGTTGTCTTGTAAGTCCTGGTTTAGCATATTGTTGTTCACTATAACGCGGTTTCACTATAACGCGGTTTCACTATAACACGGTTTCACTATGACACGGTTTCACTATAACACGGTTTCACTATGACACGGTTTCACTATGACGCGGTTTCACTATAACACGGTTTCACTATAATGCAATTTCACTATGACACTGTTTCACTATAACACGGTTTCACTATAACGCGGTTTCACTATGACGCGGTTTCACTATGACACGGTTTCACTATAACGCTGTTTCACTATGACACGGTTTCACTATAACGCGGTTTCACTATAACGCAGTTTCACTATAACACGGTTTGACTATAACGCGGTTTCACTATAACGCGGTTTCACTATAACA